CGGGGGAAGCCACTCGGAAGCCCTCCGCCACGGGAAGGAGTTCGGCCTCGGCTGCCACCACGTGCTCATCAAAACCGCGGCCACACCACCCGGCCGACAAGCGGGGATTGCCGTTCCATGCGCTTAATACAGGGAGGTTATTACTGTAAGAGTGTGTTACACGGGAAAAGAAAATGTTCTAGGGACTTTTTTTTTTCCCCGTTGTCATACCTTTTATCTCTGGAGCTTGTATTTGTATTTGCCTCAGCCAGGCACGGGTTGTGGTGCGTGTGAATGTTTGTCCCTCAAAGCTTGTGATAAACTCACTTTTCTGTTAAAAAGTTTAAATACTTGTTATAAAAATTTTCTCCATACTTGCGTGCTTTGATCTAATCTACTGCATAGTTTTAGCTAAAATGGTTGTGGTTCTAAAGATTACAAGTATTAGGAGGAAGAAATAAGTTGTAGAAATTATCTTCAGCTTGCAGCTTGCTTTACAAAGGTTTAAAATGCCCTTTCTTTGCTAACTCCATCTAAAGAGCTCCTGACCCGCTCCTTTTCATGTAGAGTCACCAATCTAGTAATAGTAATAATCATGTTTTGATGGGATCAATAAGGCCATTGCTTTGCACTTAAGAATTCTAATAGAGCCTTAATATTAATGAGCAAACACCTTCCGAAGTACTGTTTCTGCTTAGGCGATCAGAGGAGAACTTTGTGCTCCTGATAAACGCTTGAGCTCCCTATGCTTCACCATTGCTGCAGCTTTAGAGTCCAAACAACGTGTCCTGAGCCAGGAAATCCGCTGGTACAGAACCGGTTCTGTCCTTCGTCATGAACACGCTCTCTCAAAGGCGCGTTACAGCACAACCCAAACCACAACCCCCCTGCGTCCCCGGCCACAGAAACTGAAAGCCCCGGTCGGGTACGTGGGCGTTTCTGCTGACAATCAGTTTAATGGTTTTGTGCAAGACTCAGCCTTGTGGTGAGCGGCTCTCCAGAGATTTGCCATGCCAGCCCTCCAGGCTGCCTTGGGAAACCTGCAAACCCAACGCTGCTGGCAGACGCAGCTCAGGATTGAAGGCACGCTTGAAGGTGCCAGATTTTGCAGCTTTCTGTATAAGGGCTGTGGTGCCCTGTCTGGTTATCCTAGAACAAAAATAACATTTCCTTTTCGGAGGCCTTAATTGGTAATTATTATTATTACTTTTTTCTTTAATTAGTTGTGGGCAGAAGGGAAATCTTGGAAAGAGGTCGGCTTCTGTAATTACAAGGACCTCCTGAGCGGCGCTACGTTGGAAAGAGTTTAATCCTGGTGGTGGTGGTGCCCACCAGCATGCTCAGCAGCAAGACTGGGCAGTGGAAGCAGAGTTGCCGCCACCGACGTCTAACACCCACTTCATCTTCCAGAGTCAGTGCCTGTTTTCATAAGGTTTTCCACATCTTCCTTAGACGATAACCTGGATAGAGCGTGAGCAAACTACCTAGATCCCTGCGCTCTTTGAAAACATCCAACTTGCGGTTCAGGCTTCAGTTTGCCATCACCCCATCAAAACAAGCTGTCCAAATGCTCAAAGAAACCACTCAGCAGACAAAGCAGCTTGCTGAAAGCAGGTTGCCTTTCCTCCCAGGTCTAGTAGTGCGTGATTAGGAAGAGACAACAATGAAGGTATGGGAATACTGGGAAAACAACACAAAATACTTCCGTAACACACAAAAAATAGCAGAACAGCCACTGGGCTATTTGCTGTCCAGCTACAGCTCCTTTGCGTGGCTTCACTTGGGCAAAGGAGCGGGAGAAAAGGATCTGGCTGGCTGCTGTCCTCGTCCGCAGGTGGACTGCGCTGGTGCACAGGGCCCAAGCTCCATCACCTCCCCTTTTTCTTTTCATTTGCAGGATTGCTGGAAGATCTGGAGCGCTCCATGACCAGCTACGGGCTTCAGAGCCCAGCTTGCAGGATTTGCCTCTGCGGCCAGCTAGGCTTATACCAAAGCTGCTGCAGCCCTGCCCTGCCTCTGCGCTGCGTACCCAAGATCCCGCACCAGGCACAGCCCGGCTGCAGCTGAAAACGAGGTTACAGATGCATAAATTTGGGGCATTTTGTACGTTCTGATAAGTCAGTTTTCCTGTGCGAACAGTGCAGTGATACATCACTGCCCATAAATCTCCACCTGAAGGCAGATGAGGAAGAGGAACGAGGGCAACACCAAAAAAATCCCAACCCTGCTGCCTTCGTGGAAGAACGAGATAAGGCCCAAAGAGGAAATAGGAAGTTATCAACTTAAACTTAAGAATTGTAAGAATTTCCTGGTAAAGGGTGGTCTCTCCCCCGCCAGGACTTGGTTTTACCGCAGCAACCCGTCGGCCGTGAGGGCCACCTGGCCCCAGCCGCACTGAGCCAAGGGGGTCGCGGTGCCTCGCCGCTCCCGACTCCGGCCGGGCTGAGGTGGGAAGGCACCCCCTGCACTTGCATCTGGCAGGCTGGTCCCAGCCTGTCCCCCATCTGCCGTTTTGGAATTTGGGGTGGAATTCGACCAGAAGTATACCTGACGCTTCATTCAGCTTTGAAATGGCTAACGCATCGACGTTAAACCGTTCCGCTGCCTTCTGGGGCGCGCTAGGTGCTGCCGCTTCTTTTTCACAAATCCTCACATTTGTCCCTGAACAGCTTAAAAAGCAACGATGGGTTACAGCCGACCCGACCCCAGATGCCACGAGGCCTCACCGCCGTACCTTCTCCCCCTGCGAGCTCCAGCGGGTGCCAGATCGCCGGCAGCCCGGCCACGCACCATACTGCCCCATTACAGCTGGAACGGTTGGTTAAGCTTTACAGCACTTAGAAATGCTCCCGAGGCGCCCGAAGCGTCTCGATTCAGAATTGAACTTATAATACCTGCCAAATTTGCAGGTTTGAAACCACTTCCAATAAGAATTAAAAAGGCCCTCTTCACAGCTGAAATGGGGCTATCAATACCTGACTTGTCTGCCCGGGTGAAATAGCGGGTTCTTTGCTCTGACGTCGCAATTTAGTTTAAAATAGCTTTGATGATGACAGGGTACACGCGTGTGATAAAACCACAAAGATGACAGCCTAATCTTACAAAGATGGCCGATCGCTGATAAGAGATTAAGTCACACAACATTTGAAAAACCAGATTATCCGTCTGCTAGGGTACTGTCTGTGTACACCTCCTGCTGAGCCTCGCTGGGAGGCCAACCACATACAAAGATGCTACTTCTTAAAAGCCAGAAATGCTTCACAGAATCTCTCAGACCATTGGAATAAAAGAAAGCAAGCAAGGAAGGAAAAAAGCTCTGATTTTATAGAGAGCTTTTTTTGTCAAACGTTCATTTTTCAGGCTGGTAAAGTATTTAGATGTACAGCGTATAAATAATTTAGAGACACTATAAAAAGGTCTAAATTAGCCAATTCTGCCCTATAATTAGCACTCACAGCTATGCTGGCAATGGGTGGGTGATTATTAAACACCTTTTATTATCGGTTTTATGTACTACAATAAAAAATGAAAATTATACTTACAAGAATTATTAGACATGCCGGTCCTATAAAACTCCATATAAAGTTATTCTTTGTGCTGAGCCAACATCTGAAAAGTAAACAGCAGAAAATGCCTTGAAGTGTGCTGTTGTGACTACTGCATCCTTCTGGAGGTTGATTTGGACACAGAAACAGCGACTTACACTTCGGTGGTGCCGTAGTACTTGTACCCCAGCGCGGCGGAGATTCCAACCACCACGGCTGGGCTGACGTAGCCGAAGACATAGAAGTTCTTGTGCAAGAAACCCTTGTTGTAGATGACTCCCACCACTATAAGGTAGAGGTGAATACCTTCGATGCACATCCACGCGAAAGCGGCCAGGAGGAAATAATGGAGTAACCCGGCAGTAATTGAACAGAGGAGCTAGGGATTGAATCAGAGAAAGCAAGAGTCGTCATTCTGCTAACACGTCCCTGTCAACAGCGCGGCATCGGCAGAGCACCCCGGGGACTCTGAAGCGGTGGCCCAGCAGCCCAGGTGCGACACTGGTTGACAAGAACTCAGCCTGCGCCCACGAGCACGCTTGTTCACCGGCGCTGCCTGGGGCGGCCGGTAAAACAAAGCGACGACCTTCCGCTTCCAGCACTGGCGCACGTCTTCCCAGGACAACCGTACAAACCAGCGGACAAGGCGGATGCCAGTTACAGCCCAGCCGTCTATAGGCTTTCCCGATCCGCACAAAGGGCATCTTTATGATTTTGATCACAGTGTAATCAGGCACCGCGAGGAATTATTTCCAAAATCACTTTTGTTACCGCAAAGTGTTCGTAAAACGCTATTTCTCAATCCATCAATACCGGGGCGCTACCTCAGGGATAGCAGCTTGTGTTTCTTCAAGTAACTTTAAATCCTGTTCGGCTACTTATTGTAAAGTATTTTGATGATTTACGCGTGATTTAATTTCCTAAAGCTACTCTGAGGTGCACAAACCAACATCCCAACGCGCATGAAAAGCAACACGACAGGTCAGGACCTCGCACACGGAAAGCAGAGGGGTCCTGCAGCCAATGGCGCCGCATCTTCGGCGCCCGCTCGGGCCTGCAGCTCTGGCCCGGCTTTGAGGGGAGACGGCCACCCGGAGAGCCACCAGCGCGGCTTCGCGCAGCGCCCCAACGGGCGCGAACGGCGGCAACGCCACACACCCCCCGGGACCGCCGGCTCCGCTGGGGCGGCAAAGTTTAGAGGAAAGCCGCGGAGCAAAGTCGATCTGCTCCAGCTCGGGTGAAGGCTCTGCTGCTGTGAACGGCCGCTTGCACCTCCCGGTACTCGGCTGGGGAGTCACCGTCACTGGGACGCTCCCACTGACACAGGAAAGGCTGGAAGATCGTATCTGACACTGTGTATTTACTGCACAACATGGAATCAAGGCACGAGGGAAAACTACCCACCTTATTATTGTTCATGTTAATTCCAATCAGGAAAATCAGTTCCGCCAGGAAAAGGCTGCAGCAGAGGTTTTTGTGAATTGTTGTTCTAGTGCTTTGAATCTCACTGAAGAACCAGAATGTAAAAATGCACATGGAGAGGCAAATCAGCGAAATAATTATTCCTAGCTGAGTGATTCTTGTAAGAATGTTATAATTTGTAACACCCTGGGGGAAAATTATAATATAATATTTAAAAGAATAGCTTTGTACCTTCTCAAGAAAGACCTCATTCTGTAATACAGTTCTTTTCTTCTTTTCTACAAAACATTAATCAAAACTGTTTGTAGAGTTACACTGCAAATGTACACTTTGGATAATCTAAAAAGTGTTAGTTTTTTGGTGAGACAGATATAATTCTAGGGGAAATTAGCAATGAACTGTATATATGCCTGCTCCTGCGTTTTCTGATATTTCTTAACAAAACTTTTTATTAACAGCAGTATCTCCTAATATGATTTAAAAAATCAGATCATTTTAGTGAATGACAAATACACTGACAGCAGGACATATACAAATATGACACGAACATTTTCTAATACGAAAGGACTGATCACAGCAGTGACTTAGATAAGCAAAATTGAATAACTGTCTCACTGAATTTGCAACATGATCAAAACAAGACTCTGAAACAACAGTCACTTCAAACAAACGCTGTTCCAGATATGCAACATGAACATTCTCCAAAGAAACACAAGCTATTTATCATCAAATGTGGATATTTTCCGTGTACGAATGCAGCTACATTTGCTGCTCAGTGTTTGCACAAAGGAGCTCTGAAGTACGTGGCTGTGCATCAGCATAAGGATAGTATTCAGCTGGCCATAAACCCAGCAAATAAGTGGGTCTTTTTGCTAAATAAAGGACCAGAGAATATTCTCCTCCCAGCCTTCCTTCTCAAAATAACTATATAAGTACCTGCAAAGGTTTTAAATCTGAACTGAAGGCTTGGGATGCTATTTAGCAACCAGGAAACAGCCTCTATCAGCATGAAACGCACAGTGTGAGAGAACTGTCTCAATACAGCATATTCATGCTAATGTTCTGCTTGCTGTCAGTTCTGATACCTTATAAAGCTGCCTCCTGAGGCAGGACCTGAGCTCCTGCAGATCCCCACGTAGACCTTGGAAATCCACGGGGCCTCTTACTACAAGGAGGACATAAATGGAGTGGTCATGCCCACAATTTTATGCTGGTCACGAGTGCCCATGTTTAATAGTCATAAACTTCAAATTGATTATGCTGTTGCAAACTTTCAGGAGAGAATTTAAAGCAGATTTTTAGATGCCAAGGTTAGACAAATGGGTGGCAAAGTTTTGTGAGCGAGAAATTCGGGGCCATATGGTTACTGACCACCAATGAATGCCAGTTAAATCCCACAGCAGTCTTAAAGCGGGATTTAAAATTAAAAGCAATGCACCAAAAATAAGCACAACAGACTGTGTGTTTGGAACAAGATACTTTGCTGCATCACTGCTCTGTAATACTGCAGAAAGGACATAAGGAAATTCAGACACATATGGGAGGAATTTTGTTTGCTCCGTGCACAATAAATCGTGTGTTTGCTGAACAAAACCAGACGACCTAAAGGGGGAAAAGTACCTGAGTTGCACTGAAATAAAAACGTAAGGAACGGAGACGGGAGAAAGTATCAGGTAAACCACAAATTAAAACAGCACTTACAACAGAGCCACCCGAGGACATCAAAACAGCGAAATGAGTCAGATGATTACATTTGCATGAGATATGAGTGGAGTTGGAATGGGTCAGCTCACAGCCTTGTGTAGCCCAGTGGCCATTCATTGTGTCTGCTGAGTAGTTCCAAAATGCACATTTAATATCTTTATCCGCCGTCTGGAACAGAAACAAGATGTTTTACTGATGGCGAAAGGCAGGATATTCCCCACCAAGAGACCTTTGCTGCTTTAGCCAGCGCAATTCATCAAAAATCGCTTGTTACCCTCGGAAGGCTGGGACACAAACAGCACATTCTGCGAGGCCTGTTCCAAGCAATTAAAACAGGGCTGGGGATGGAAGCGCTTCATCCACACAGCCAACACCCCACCAGACACGGGGGCTAATCGGGTCCCTGAACCCTTCTGGCACGTGCAAAGGCACCGGAATTTTTACTGACTGAACAGCCTGTTCAGTACCCACCTGCACCCGCTGAGCACGGACCCAAGGTCACAGCCACGTGCCCACAGTCCCTTCCAAAAAGCAGAGACTTATCCCGTGCATCTCACAAACGAGCTGGGACAAAGCCAGGGTCACCTCACACCTGCCGTGTCAGGTGCGGCGACAGCGATGGATCAGACCCTCGGTATTATTTATCACAGCCAGTGCTCACTAGCACCGGCCAACGAGGGGGTCCCTGCTGCACTGCAGGCTGTGTCACTGTGTGCAAATGTCCATAAAGCTCCAATACTAGAAGGCAAGTAACATCTTCAACAGCGGCACCACCAAGGTCAACACCCTGTCCCACTGCCCGCTCCCGGCAGAGTCACTGTCTCGTGGCGCTTCCCGTAACTCTCGGTGCCGCGCGAGGCGGTTCTCCGCCCGCAAGGGAAGTCAGCGAAATCTTTGCGTGCTGGAAGCAAAACTCTCAGTTTTAAACAAACGTGTTCAGGTTTCAGAAGTAACAAAGCTGCCACATTAGAGGTTCTGCTGTTGCCTCCTAGCTCCAGGTTAGCTCTTGTGTTGGCTTTGAAGCGTTTCTGCCCTTTTGTCATGCTTAACCAGCTGATCAGCTTTCAGGAAGAAACCCCCCTAAATGCAGAGTAGTCAAAACCCTGCCATCTCCGGTTCAGGCACCGACGTTTTATTCACACTGCAACCCCGCACTGCTGCCCTCGCTTTAGTCCCACAGCAGTTCTGAGCTGTGCCGCACTCAGCCTGCAGCACGCGGGACGTCACACCGGAGATTAGTCTCATTAGAGAAACAAATTACAAACACCAGCAAACAACCGAATTGTGTCTCAATGCACCATACACTGCAGGTACGGCTCCACCACGTAAAATGATTAGCTACTGCTTTTATTTGAAGTTGATAAAAACCCCCAGCCCTTACCTTGGCATACTTTAAGGTAAATGTTATTTTCTCGAGCTCATAGAGCGCAGGTGGGTTTGAGCTAATTGCAACAGCTATGACCGATGAGCTTACGGTCTGTCTCTGCTCTGCAGCATCCGTCGAGGAGCGGTTTCGAGGCGAGGAAAGCAAAGAACCAATATTGCTGTACCGCAGAAAGACAACTGCAACGGTGCCTATCAATCAAACAGGCCATGTTTAGCAGTTTGTGGGCTTTTTTATAGAGGAACAAAACTGAAGACATTAAGGAAACAATAAACAACAGACATTGTTACTGCTATTGCATAAAATATGCAAAACAGATGGAATCTTTGTAGAATACTTATAAAAATGTTTTAGGGACAATGAAATATAGCTTTATTTAAAACAATGTAACCGCCATTAGAAATAAAAATGGGTGTTCGCGTTGGAAATTCTAATTAGATCGACGCACGGATTTTTTTCTAGAGCAATATGTGCTGGCTGCTGCTCGGCAGTTGGCGGCACATGTGATGTCAGGTCCCGTAAACCACAATGGCTCAGACCTGGGGTAAATACCGGGCCTCTGTGAGGTACCCGGCTCGCTTTGACTTCCACTACACGGGAGCCAGGATGGGAGCCACGTAGGGAGAAAGAAAGCGAAAGGTATTTTAGGATGCAGGGCTGGTCTGGCGAAATGTCGTGGGTTTTCTCCCTGGAACCAAGATAAACCACATTTCTAAGTGCTGATAGGCGGTGAGATTCAGATTAGCTGGAAGATTAAGATTTACAAAATCTTTTCTACGTTTCTTAGTTCAAGTGGTTTTTTAGAGAAGGATAAAGCTCAGGTCTCTGGTACCAATACCCAGCCTTAAATCTCACTGGATACTCCCCGTGCCACTGGGAATGTTGGAAATGCCAGTCTTGAGATAAGAAGGGCGTAGGAGAGACGGTGACTGCTCCGTGGTGAGCAGGGCTGCAGCTCAGTCTCGGTGAACTGCCCATTTGGCTGCTCGCTAGCGGGTACAAGTCCACCCGAGGTGTTTATTAACCCACCTACCCTCCATCCAGCCGTTGCTTCTTACCGTTAGGAGGAGATTCCTCTCTCTTCTTTGGAGAGATCTTTATGTAATCTCCCTCCGTGTACACGTGAGGGTGAATGTGTTTCATGCGGTGTGAATCAAAGGCAAAAACCTTGAGTGCTGCAAAAGAAGAAAAGCACTGTACAAACCACAGCTCCGTTATGGTCCACCATAATTTACAGTTGGGTTAATAAATGTGCCATTGGATTGCATAATTACCGGGAATTTTAAGAATATGTCATTGTGCCAAATAATTCAAGAAAAATGCTATTAATATAGCATGTTTGCTTAAGCCTCTATGTTTTGTTATTTTCATGCATACATTTTGCTCTCAGACTTTTTACTCTTTCCATGAAAAATATAGCCTTTTATTTACCTTGCATTAAATTAGGCACTGGAAAGAACAATGTAGGTTACTTTGGGAAGAGCTATTGCTTTATTAAAAATGCATTTCTGAAAGGGACTACAAATCACAATTATAAAAAGCAAAGCGTAAAATTCTCTACTGAGTAGTAACGTTTGATAAAAGCCAATTTTGGAAAAGTATATATTTTATAGTTATCCATCCATGCTACCAAACGCATGTTGTACCACGATATAATGATGTGTCTTGTCAAAAAGCAAACAAACAAGCATCACCCCTCAGGACAGAAACTACATTAGAGGACACTGAGCTCTTTACTCGGTTCATTATGGTGCTGAGTTTCAATCACCCGGGATGGGAACAAAAAAAAGTCAATCAGGCCTTTTTTTTTAAAAAAACAAAACAACAACAAACAAATCTAAAACTTGACTGATGGAGGAATATCACTAAGCTAGACCATCTGCATTGCTTATAGCACAGCGCACAAAAATAATATGAGCGATTCAATAGACCAGCTGTCAGAAACTGTTTGTCAGGACGTAAGGAGTAGTTTGCTGCGGCTGGAGCTAAGGAAAGCTCGTAGTTCTAGAGCAGTGGAGAGAGAGGGGTGATGTGGTAGGTCTTGTCCCGAAGTAGCTGTGTGGGGCACATAGGAGCCCTGTGGAAAACACACCCGTGCTGAAAAACACTAACAGAAAATCGTAGTGTTTGGAAAAGAGCTCACACAGTTTCCCATTTTAGGGCGAAAGCAAGCCCCAAAATCACCAACTTTTCAACATGGAAATTCTCCCCCTTCCCTTTATCAGCTTTCCTCACGGCCTTGGTCTGACTGCCGCCCACGCTGCGCCCCGGTCCTCTCTCCTCACCCTCCACGGCCTGAGCTGTGGGGCCAGGAGAGGTTCTGCTTGCAGCGAGGCGGTGGGGTCTGCGGCAGAGCCCCAGCGTAAATCTGCTTCTGCGGAGCTTGTGCCACGGAACAACCTCCTCCCTGCTTTTACATGGCTCTGGAGTTTTGGGAAGGGGAGGGACCCAAGGAGGAGTCTTTCCCTTCAAGCCAACCTACAGAACGGCAAACCAGTAAGAGGCACCGAAGGGCTGAGCTGGACCTGAAGGAAGAAATGAGGTCACGTACCGTTTGAGTACTCTCAGAAAAACAAAGGCGGAAGAGCTCCCGCGGCCAGAGGAACCAGCAATGCTTTGCCAGGATTTTCAGAAGCGGCTGGGATCAGCCTTTCCCTGCTCCCGCCGAAGGAGCGGTGAAAGCATCGTTACCACGGGAAAACCCGCAGGAGTGGGTGCGGGGCACCAGCCCACGGGGAGAGGGGAGGAGAGCAAACCGGCACCGCGGAGACTCCGCAGTTCTCCTCCTCCGAAACTCCTCTCAAGGTGAGAAATCTCTCTGAAAACAAGGCCACGCACGATCGGCCTCACCAGGTACAGTCTTCATTCCGAGTTCATTCCAGTACCGCCACTGAGCCAAAAAGTCAGTACAGAGCAAATCCAAATGTCATTCCACTGCTGGGTTTACGCGCCTAAGAGGCACAGGGTAACTCCGTGCCTGCAGATGACCCCAGATCCACAGTGACAGCGTGACGATGATGAGACATTGAGAGAGCGTCTGAAAGGACAACTTCCCCCAGCCTCCCAGGTGTTTCATGGGCTCTGGGCTCACACCTTCCATCTCTGAATATCGCGGTACCTACACTGCAAGGCAGGTGTCAGTTATGGAACTCGTACAAATTAACAGCTGGGTGTTTCACATAACACCACTGCTCATCTTCACCGCTGTGCTGAGAAACCCCTCAGGATAATCCACATCTGAAAAATACCTTAGTATTTTTATACCTGAGTAAAAATACCTTAGTTTTCTTTCCCTTACCTATGTCACTGGCATTAGCATCTAGCTGGGTCGACTTTTTGAAGTTCTGCGACACGAGGAGCGTCGCTTGTTCGGCAGTGTGCAGCAGCTTCGTCAGGCTCCGTCTCTGCTCACCCACAGGAAGAGATTCCCAGACTGCAATCTTGTCTTTTTGTAAAAAATTGTTCACAGTGTTAACCAAAACCTGTAAATATAAGGATATTTTTAAGCGGCAGAGTCATACGCTAGCTGTAGAGTAAGAAAACCCCCGCGACTTCAAGGCTTGGTCCACTCACGTTGATGGTTGTATTACGAAGGGCTTCGCTGTCAGAGACAGGGTGTTGCGTGGTGTTCAGCGATGAATGAGATAGTGCTTCAACGTAGGCGATCACATCTACAGGTGAAAGCGGTCTCAAAGTGTTTTTATTAATATCTTGCAGCACCTCCAGGAGTGTTTTTAAACGACTAATCTGGAAAATACAAGAACTCCCATCTTAATGAAACAAGCAAAGTCACATTTCTGCAAGTGAAAGTAAACCCAAGGCCAACGACTGATTTCTGTGAAGCCACACGCTGGCTTTTAAGACGCTTGTGCATCAAGAGGCGCTATTTAAATCAACAGGTTGACCTATAAAGCAACGTCTGCTATAACCCTAACAGGCAACTACGATTAAAAAAACAAAAGTCATGTGTTATCATTACTCATTTTTGGTGTTTTGTTTTGTTTTTACTACCTCAGCTGGCCTTTCTTTATCCTAATGCTCCAAGGTACTAGTAAATGTTGTGCAAAATTAAACATCAGTGACAAGGTGACTCTGTTGACTCTTTTCTGTTAAAGTTTAGCTGAAGAGATGGGAGCAGATGGGCAGTATTGGCACAGTTTGTGGTGGTTTTTTTTTTTTTTAAATGGAGATTCTAAAGCACGTAGTTTAGTGAAACTGTGCTGCCCATTGCACCTCCGCTGCGTCGCTTCATGAACTGCTACGTGCGCTTAGGTACGCCGGCTAGTCTAAAAAGCAGTGGGCTAGAGACGGCGAGATGAAGATTAGGATTGCAAGCTTCAGTCTCATGGCTGAATAAGAAAAGAATTCTTCCTTCATGATACTGAAATCTAATGAGATTTTACTCATCGAAACCCCCTAGCACCCGATTTTGCAAGATTGGCAGCCTCTGCTCCTGAACAGCTTTCACGGGGCTCGCGTCGTCCTTGGCTGCAGCTGAACACAACTAGAACGCGGGCTGAAAATGAGGCTAAAGCTGACACGCTGTTATTTACATAACATTGAAGTATTTTGACTTACTACTTTAAGTTTAGTTTGGCTATGTATTTAAAAAAAACCCCTGCTCACTCGAAGACCCTGCTGCGGCGTTCATTTACCACGTCTCTGCACGTCAGCGGGGCAAGCCTGTGTTATATTTAATGTGATGCGTTACATTGCAGGGCAACGCAGGAAGCATGTTAATACAGCGCAGGTCTTGCACTAGGTTAATAAAAGCCTTTAAATGAATATCTTTCTGAATCTTGTAACTACGGCAAACTGCTTAACATAAAATGCAAACACGTATGATCGATTCTAATTTATTTATGCTTATGTTTCATTTATCCTTTTAAAATAGACAATGCTATAGCTGTAGACTAACGAATAGTGAATTCATTAACAATTTTTTTTTAATTTGCTTCAGGAATCTCCTCTTCTGGTGAAAAAAAAGTCTTGAACCCACAGTCTTTGAGCCTATAAATTCTGCACCCCTTGACATGCTCTGCTTTGAGAGGTAAATATGTCAGCATCCCGGGACGTCGCTGCTCCCTTTTCTGTTCTGTCACCCGTTGACATCACTTTTGTGAGCTATCTTGCTGCCTTTCGCTCTGAACAAGCAAATAATTGCACCTCAGTAAATGCAGCAGTGTGTAACTTCAGAAATTACAGAAAGAGCTGAGTGATTACCACACTTCTGAATTTTTCATGCATCATGACTCACTTTGCTGGAAACAGAACACAGAGATTCCCAGCAAGTTATTATCATGACTTGAACATACAACCCAGTTCAAATAATTTGAAATTATTAAAAAGACTTCTGTAAACATGCTTAAGTTCAATTGTATGCTTCAAGCATTTGTTAAAAGCTCCTTAAGAACCATTATAATTGAAATAACAGTTTCAAACAGAAGCAATTAAAGGATTTTGAAATTAATCTATAAACCAATGCTACTTACTCCAGCTAAAGTTCTATTAATGTGTTCAGTGATACAGTCTTTGGATAACTCACACTTAGCCTTCGGATTTTCTGTAGAAATTAGAAAGAAACGAATTATATATTGCAGTTTAACCAATAGTCAATATACACTCGTTGTAAGAGCTCCTCTCTGAGGAATTCCCCAAACCACCAACCAGCATCTGGGTTCACGCACCCAGGAGGCAGCGCTGCACCCTCAGACGTCACCTGCCCAGGCTTTATCTGGGCCAAAGCTCCAGCACTGGACTGGGCTCTGAGCTTTTGTTAAACTAGAGAGTTTGGCCCCTTTCCCTGGGACTTCCACAGGGCAGTTCAGAGGCAGCTCAAACGCCCAGAGCGGAGCCCAGATCTGACAGCGTGAGGAGGTGACCACGATGTCAGACGGTTTCATCAGAGCGTTTAGCAAAAACACATTTACGGAACGATTCTGTTCTCAGGAAACGCAGATGCCACCACCTCGCCTCTTTGTCATGTCTTGCTGATTAATCTAACTGAAGAGAAAGAGGCACCGGTGGGTTTCTCAGAAGATGGAGCTCTATAATAACACATAAACCTTTATAAGATATAAAAATATCACGTACCTTGGCAGGAAGTGCCATCATTTGGCTTAAACTGCAACTTTCCTGTGGATGGTTGATAACCTTCCTTACAGGAGCAGTTAAACCCTCCATCCACGTTTTCACATTTTGCATGATCTCCACAGGCAACAGTTCCTTCATTGCTGCACTCATCTACATCTGCAAACATCGTGAGAAATTGAATTTTTTATTAAGTATTTACAGACTAACACCTCGCTGCTTTGTTGATAATAGCCCTGCACACCGCGAGCAGTTTCACAATAAAATTTCATGGAATAAAAAAAAGGCAAAAACTAAAAAGACAAACGTAATGGCAAAACACCTGCCAATTATAATACTTAGGGATTAGAAGGATAAGTCATAATTGATCATATTTTTATACAACCACTTTTATTACTACATAACACTGCATTGTTCATGTTTTAAAACCGCGAGGGTAAATATTAATTCTATCATAACAAAACGCTCGGCATGATGCAAATAATCTGAAATCCATTTTCCAGAGATTAGACTAAACAGATTTTCTCAGCCTCATGATTCAGTCAGAACGGAGAAAGAAAACTGCAGCCTTTTCCTTTAAGTCTTCCTTTAAAAAGATGCTGCAAAAGATCTCTCTATCCATCTCGTTAATCTAAGATTCAAGCTCTGTGCCCTTTAAAGTGCTTGGCATGTCTTCTTTTTTTTTATTCTTTTTTTTAAATCCACATTTAAATTACATTTGCCTAAAATGGCTTTTGTGCTTCTAAATAATTTGCCATTAGGTAGAGAGGTTCAGTAACTGGGGGGGGGCGCAGCCCAAGAGTAAACCCGATGAATTCCGGTAAGCGAATCCATGAATCGATCACTTGAGGAGAGCCGGGCACTAACCCTCTGGCAGGAGTAGGCACTATTTTGCATTATTTGGTTGGCTGAGGATAAAGATCAAATAACTCAATGGAGAAAGTCAACTGGGAACAATACCAAATAATTCTGAAGAGTGAAGTAATGGACTGGGAGAGGAGTGCTGTGGCGGAAAGCAGAAACCAGCTTCAGGACGGGCATAGCTGACGGAAAGAGCTGAAGAACGAAGGAGAGAGACGTGAGCAGGTTGAAAGGCGCTGCCCGAGAGCTGAGCGGACGGAACTAACGGCAGAGCGGGGAACGGATGGCCAGCGAGGAGGACAAGCTAAGCTCAGAACTGGCACGACACTGGGTTTGGGAAAGAAACAGGGGAAACAGGAGAGATGTTAACCGAGTAGTGGAGAACAGCCGCCTCAGCTGGCAGGAGGCCTTCGTGGGGCCAGGGGGACGCTCCGAACGGACGGACAGAGGGCAGGCCTGGGGGTGGAAACGCGCTGCCACGGGTGGGAGCTGCTCTGGCACCCTCGTTTCGATACAAGGCTGTCGGTGGTTTTCAAAAAGGAGGAGGACAAAAATGAGTGATACTGTATGTGAAATAAGGTTGCTGGAGAAATGGAAATTGTGGAAAAATATACTGCATGTCTGTGGATACACCTAGGGGAGGCAGAAAGACGACTGAAGGATATTTGGGCAGCATTTTTTGGTGACTTCGTACAACACTTTACTCACGGCAAGAGAGCCTCCATTGGGCAGCATTTTTTGGTGACTTCGTACAACAAGAGAGCCTCCACGAATAACCAGATGAATGCCGTTTGGGGTTTTTTTGGTATATGGGGCAACCGTAAAACGCATTTAAACTTTTAATGGAATATCCCAATGGTTTCTGTCTCCACACCATTTTGCTGTTTTGTGCTTAATTCCCCAGCGCCGTTTCTTGTGCTCGTCATCCCAGAGGTCTCCCTGGGGTTCAAGATGGTTGAGGTCTCACCTCACGTTCACGTCCCTGTTTTCCTCACCGAGCAGCAGCTCCAATTTGCACCCGAAATGCTGTGTTGGAAGCCTGAGCTCCAGCAGCTGCCCCCGAAAAGCTGTTCAGGGTCCCGCGCGGCACAGACGGGGTGGAGCGGGGGGCTGGAGGCGCGTTCGCCCTCCCCAGCACAACCACCTCCGCTCAGGCTGCGCGTTTGGACGGGCTGGTGCAAGCACCGAAGTTTAAAGGATGAGGTTAAATTATAATTATCTGCATTAGGGCAACAGTTTGTTTCCACATTTAATGGCCCAAACTGCGAATGTTTCTCTTTAATGAGCAGAGTTTCGCGGTTTCTGTGACCTCAGTATTCACAGCCATGGAGCTCACCACGTTATACATCTATGAATCTGGCAAAAGTGAAGAAAAAGGGGGGGGGGGAAGTGTGATATAGTGCTACACACAGGCTACCTCATAATTAAATGCTGTCATTTAAAAACATAAGACTAAAGTTCTCGCTCTTGGCATTTAAATAACCTCTCCCATCAGTAAATTATAAAGCTTTTTTTGAGACAAGCAGTTGCCTGTCAGCGCCCTGTTGTGTGACCCTGTGTAAGACAGACAAACTTCGAACGAACTGAAGTGGCAAGGGTGAAAACCATGACAATGCCCGTCTGTGTAACAAGAACACACATCAGCCTTACACCAAAGACTTCTTTGGCCTTGTCGGAGAGGACGTGCGCATCTTGACAAGATATTCAGCACGTAATGCAGTGCTGAAACAGCAGCCAATGACAACAAACTTTGCTAAAACTTACAGTTATAAATAAATAAATATTTGAATACTTTCCAGGCTACCATTGCTAAGCATCAGGCTTCCATGTGATTTATTGATTCAAATATTTCAAAATTATTGTGATATCTTGCTTTTCATGAACCTTCAGCTTGGTAAATCATTTCTGTGTTGTTATTGGGCAGTCACGCAAATTACCCTTCCTTTGCAATTATGTCAGACATTAAGTGTAATGAAGATTTCAAGGAGATGTCAGGATTATCCAGAACAGCAGCAGAAACTCGAGCACCAAGGCACATCTCTGGCAAGAGGGCGGTTATGTAAAGTCTGACAGAGACACCCTGTCGAGTACATGCAAATAGACTTTCAGCAGTTGAGTGGTCCATATGGAAGGAGTCCGCATCACGCCGATCTAATTTACTGCTTCCTGGAGAAAAAAAAAAACCCAAAAATCCTCCGGACGACAAAACTGAAAGGCAGTACGTCTGATCTCGCCAGGTACTCATCAGCTTTGCATCCCTTGTAAACCGACGCGGTGGGCGGGGGCAGCCAACAGCTGGTGACAGTCGCGAGAACACCGCTTTGAAGTCCCTGCTTTGAAACGCCGCCCGCAGTAGCTGAGGGGTTTTGTTTCTTCCTGTTCCGTAGTGACGCCTTTGTGACCGAACACGCCGCCGCCGGACCGCACCGGGAGGGACAACAGCTTGCGGGTGCTGCCAGCAATCCCGTTTCGCGGGAGCGTCGGGGCGAGGATCTCCAACCGTCCTCCTTGGCCTGCTGCGGGAGCGGGGCTCGCGCGAGCCGTCTGCACAGACGCGTTCCCGAGCAAAGGTTGCAGAACGGCAGCTTTTCAAACAGGGGCGCGTTTGCTGCCGCGCCGCGGAAAGCCCTGGCCTTTTAGTAAATATTCGAAACAAATCCTGGAGCTGAACTTTGAAGCTTTTATAATAGCTCCGATCAGAAAAATACCATCACCCACACCACTTAGGCTACTGTGAAAATAGATTTATAACCTTTTATTTTATTTCTGTGCTTTGTCACTCCTCATTTGCTGCAGCAGGCAAGGAAATTCCAATTAAATTAAAAGTACTGAGAACAGTTATTATGTTCAGTCTTGCCAATTACTGGATTGTACCTACATCGCTTTGATTCTTCACCAGTCAGTCAAGACAGCTTGATGTCTACATTATACCTTCTGCTTATTAGTAGCTTGCGAGTGATTGAAAAGTCCGATGGCAAAGGACTAGATGCTCCCTCCCCGTGTCTCCGTACTGTGGAAGGCGGCAGCGCGCACAAAGCGGACGGCACGGGCGAGAGGGAAGTTAGCAAAGCGGTGTAATGCCATACCCCCCCCCTCCGCACAGCCCTCCTGTCACAGGGAAGGATGCGATGGGGAACGGGTGCCTTCCCCCTGCTCTCAGAGATACCTGAGGAAAAGTAATAACCTGTTCCGGGAAAAGGCAGAGCGGCACGGATGTCACCGTCATTTCACAGAAGGCCATTTTCATGTTTTCACTCACATGTTGGCCGGGGTGGAAAAAGTAGGTTTATATTTCACCTTGCTATCTGCAGCTGAACTTTCAATAAAACATGAAGTCTAAGGAAGAAGAATGGCTTTTACACAGTAAATAGGTTTTAATAGCTCACATACAGGACAGCAGAAAAACATCATTGGAAATATCACATCCCTGCATTCCTCTTTTTTCTGCTGATCCATTTTCTTTCTCCTTCTCTTCTTCTCTCACTCCCTTCCTACCCTCCAGTTCCTTCTCTACCTGCATGTTTCATTGCCATTTCTTCACCGACCCCGCCTGTTAACGTGGATGAAATACTTCTGACCCTCAACTGAAAACTCAACATTCTGGTGGGATTAAGGGTGAACTGACATTTCCCAAAGCCGTTGTCCCAAGTTTTCTTCTGATTCACTACCTCGAGAGTTACAGTCACCTTGGATTCGCAAGTTCAGTCTAGAATCCGAAGCGGGGAGGGACACGCGTGGTGTGCTCGTGGGCTCACACGCACACAGCGAGGTAGCGCACTGGCGCCCCTGGGAACCCCAGCGGGGTTCGACGGCGCAAACAAAGGGGCTGTGTAACGGCACCCTCCCCAAAACTCAGCCCCTGCGCGTGCCGTCACTGCCGTGTACATTAGACACATGCACCGAAAACACAACTTCGGACTTTGCAGAACCTGGAAATATTCTGAGGCCCTAAAAACTTGGGTGGGAGGGAGGGATACTCGGCACCTCTGCCCTCCGATCTGCGCTGGGTAACGCGCACTGTATTCACAACGACACCTTCGGTGTTTGCCTCAGCTGTGCTCAGGACCCCCTGAACACAGCACTGCCAGCTGCTCCTCTGCGGCCGCATACACCACCGGTAGCAGCAGACCCACTGGGTACAAAATATCCTATTATGGTTTCCCGGGCAGATAAAGCAGACAATTAACTGTGGATCAAAAGGTCGTCTTTGGGACTCACTGCCTGGCAAAGTAATTGGTACATTTGTTTAATGAGAAAAGGTGCCCACAGGTAATTTTTTATTTCAGTGGGAGTTTTGGAAGCTCTCACCTCCTCCCATATGGATTTGCAAAAGGGAGAAGAAAAGTGATAAACTAAGCCCCAGTAGAGGATAAAAAAAGATCAGTCTCCCCAGTAAAGAAAAGAGGGCAAAAAATAGAAATTAGCAAGCTGATGGTAAAAAGCTAAAGTGACGCAAGAACAGACAAAGAAGTAACTTTGAAGACAAAACTTCTGAAGCTGAGGAAATGTCATAACGTACAAATCAAAGCCTAGACCAGGAACGGCGAGAATATTTACAGCTCGATGTGCTAACAGTCTCGATCCCAGCTAATTTAGGAACGATTCATAGCGGCTGGATAAAGCAGAGCTCTTTTAGATGGATGTGAGCAATGGGCAAGAAATGATGATTAGATCACTTTCTGGCTTAATATGCAGCCATTCTGCTGATATTAAGAGCAGTAAGAAGAGAGGTTGTCAGCACTTAGGAGCTCACAGGAGACATATCTAGAGTGAGACACAGTCAGCATAAAGGTGTAAAGGGCAATAGATTTATTTCTCATTTTCCCATTCCCTGAGGACTGTTGCAACACACAGAGAAAATTACCAAGAGTTTGAAAAAAGCGACATAGTTACAGTTCTTCTGTTCAAAGGAAATCCTAGAGGATTGCATAGCTGTTCAGAAATAACATTTTTCCAGAGAACTTTTCCTCCCCTGTAATCTTGAACATGTTCCATCCACCTGTTACAGAAACAGAGGCTGATGGGTGGCGCAGGAGGTAGGATAACTACTGATCTGGCTCACTGCTTTTGATCAGGCTTGAAAAATTACCCTAAATATCTCAACCAAAGCCCCCAAACAAAAGATATTTGGAACACAGCAGGTCAGACGTACAGGGAATTTTGCTGTTCCAGAGCAACCTGCATGCAGAATACTTTGTCACTCTGCTTTAGGAATATGACCACCTTGCTCAGAGGTCAGCGAAACAGGGGTGTAAATGGGTGGGTGGGGGATTTCTGGGTTGCCTTAACTATATATTCATTGTCTAAAACTGTGACATGTGGATTAAAAATATTGCAAGCAGAGTTCAGATTGGAGGGTTCCTGAAAACGGTGGCAGCTGCTGTGGGACCAGTGAGAAGTGTGAGCCTGAACGGGAATGTTTAAGCCTATACCAGTCCAAATTGTGCAAATTTTATATCCAGACTCCAACCTTCACAAACCCGAAAGCATTTTGATAGAATTCTGTAATTAACAGCAGCAATAAGAGAAGAGTGACAAGGTAAAGGCAGCTGGCAGACGTTAATAACTTACCCACGCAGGAGGTTCCATCATTAGGTAGAAACGTTTGTTGGCCGTTGCTGGATTTGAAACCAGGCATACACATGCAGAAATAACTTCCCACCGTGTTCGTGCAATTGGCATGCTCTCCACAAGGCTGAGTAGCATTTTCACATTCATTATCATCTGTCAAGACATAAATTATGGAGAAATATATTTGCATTTGCCTGTTGAAGAAAACAGTAAAGCAAAAGCTTAATTTGGCCTCTGGTATTTTATTTAAATAAGTTCTGAATGCTGAGCTGGCACTCTTGGTGTTTGTCTACATGGTTTTGCCATTGCCAAGGGTGTAATCAGGTGTTCAGTAGCACTCTTCTGCCCTCATCCTGCGTGAGTCAACACATGAGAAAACCATCAGGATACTGAAGTTTAACTGGATATTCACTTGGAGTAAAGGACCGAGGCACGTACGTGCTCTGCCACGGCTGTATTTGATAACACTTTTTGCCGCCCAGAAATCTGCAGGTATAGATACACCCCGAGGATGCACCTGGGGAGTTAGAATCATAGAAAACTGAGCTCAAAAGGATATCAAGAAGTCACCCAATTCGCTCCCTAACACCAAAGTGGGACCAATGTAGCGACGCCGGCAGGTTTTCTTCTGGCCCGCTTTTGAAGGCCGTCTGTGGTATTGCTCAGCAGTGCCAGCCACAAACTGACAAAGCTGGTCCTGCTGCCTGACCTGAGCCTCCGAGGATGTTGTTTTTCCTTAGTCACCCCAAAGATCTTGGGGTACAGAACAGATGAGCAACATTCGTGGCTTGACCTTTACCTCTTCGCAACCGCTGTGCAACTCCTCGTGTTCGTGCCTGCAAACTGACACGGCCCGTTTCCAGGGCTAACCCCGTGCCTCCAACGACACAGGGAGAAGGAGCTACGCGCGCAAGTTTTAAGACTACTTCATCTCCACAGAGCCTCTGCACGTGCTATCACTGTGAGCAGGGGGATCCAGCTAGCCAGGTCCAACAGAATCACCAACTCGTGCTTTGAACTGTGTAGTTGATCTTCTGCAACGACTCAACAAAACCGCTCCCTCTCCAGAATCTCCCAAGGTCCCTCTTGCCTATTAAATAATTTTCAGACCAAACTTGAGAAAAATTTCAAGTTTCCTTATCCAGACTCTCTACTTATCAAACTGAGAGCAACACTCACAACACTGATAAATTCAGCTTTCCAAGTAGCCCATTTCTCCCAAAGCACCCCAAAACTCTGAAACAAAGAAAGCAAGGGAACTCTCCCAAAAAAGAAGACACTGACAGTACTTCTCTGTTTTCTACATCGTGAGAAAGGAAAAAGAGTTAAAGGCTTCCTGAAGTCCACTGGGATTTTTTTCCTGTTCTCAAGCAAAAGGTACTCATAAGATGATGAATGACAGGAAAGAATTCGAACACAGAGAGAAATAACAATTTATTGCAGAAGAGGAACGATTAGGGAGCGTGACAGGGAGAAGAAATATGATTTCAGAAAAGACGCCCAAGGATGAGTTTCAGAAAGGTGCTTCTGCTTTCCTGGTAGTGTTCTCATAAGATGTTTACAGAGATAGGGTACAGTAAGTGCCACGTAAGCTAGGGAAGAGGCAAGAATAAAGCAGACCAAGAGCCATAAAGCGTTGCAGGAATACATTTCTGCAATATAACTTAGTCACAACCCCCCTCATAACCCTGGAACGGGACATTTTTCAGATTTGAAGTGTGACGTGATTTTGAATGTTCCTCGGTTGACTCGGAGATGCAAATATCAATTCAGAATGGCAGCTCTCCTCAGGGGAATTTGGGTCAACAGTATCAAACGGATTACGCTCATTATAAGAAAAATGGAATGTAATTTAATGAGGAATCCAAGTATAAAAGCCCTTTGCCAACACCCATCAACAATGTTTATTCTACAGCTTTGGTATTCATGAGAATACAGCAGAGGAGGTGTATGATCTGGATCTTAAAGAACATCAAAGCAAAACCAAACTAGTTCAAGTGGAATTATGGTAGGGACGAAAAAAATGTGGTGCCGATCCAAATTCAAAGGCAAAGAACGAGAATACGAAAAATCCAGTTTGTGGCACCGCGGAGACCAGGCCCCAGGACACTTTGCAAGTCTTTGCGACAACGTCCACTTCTTCGAACACCACTTGGGTGTGTCTGTCTGGCTCTTTTGCAACCCCAGTTTGCTCCTGGACCCTGGCATTTCATGACAAAAAAAAAAGGGAGCTGCCCTGTTTTAGCTGCCAAGTAAACTCGGTCTTGGGAAAGTATTCTAGGTGCTAGAAAACCATATGTGTGGACTTTGGAAAGCTCAAGGGACAGCGGTCATGGAAGGTGAGGAGCAGAAGGACGCTGATGACTGCAGGACTTCATTCAAAGTAGAGGAATAACAGATCTAAGGAGAGAAAAGCTACAGCCTACATCCAAGAACTTTTCTTTTGGGTTTGATTTCTAGGAGCTCAACTATATTCTCTCAACCCAGCAATATCACCTTTTTCAGGTGGTCCGAAGAATTTATGACCAAGATTACAATGACGCAGGCAGCGATCATCAATAAATTCTTTACAATGATGCCTAATCAACTTTACTGGATTATTGTTTTTTTTTCCTCAGTATTTAGGATGACTGTAAGGGGTTTAATGGTGACTACACTGCCTTAGGAGGCTTGCCTATCGGGAGCGCCTTCCGGATCATTTAAGAAACCTTTAGCATATCGAAGAGGAATAACAGGAACTTACATCACAAACACAAGAATGAATATTTTAAAGAGTCAAATTCATAAGGAGCTTGTTTTTCACTGTTCCCACGGCCTAACGTCACACTGAGCAGACCACGCTGGGGCATAACTTACTGGACCACATCCTGCTTCCATTGCAACCAATGGCTAAAAGTCACCGACATCATAGATGGTGCTCGCTACCGAAAACTGCTGGGTGAACGAGGAAGGCAAGTGAGGAAGAAGCTTTCAAGAAAAAAAAGCAGTTTCATATGCAGTTTGACTAGATGCATTTAATCTGCCTGATTTCACACAAAACATTGGACAAGATCAATAATGAGGGCAGAAATATCTCCTAGTTCTGTGTATAAACCACCTGAATTTTTTCTCCAGACAGCAGTTCAACGTGAAGCCCAGGGGCTTAAAGTCCTTTTCCAAATTTTACATGATTGATAACGTAATTGGATTTGTGATTTAAAGGACATCAGGAAAAAACAACAGGATTTATAGATGGAAAAATCTTTGGGGTTTTTGTTTGTTTTTTAAAGAAAATTTTCTGTCTGTACGGAAAGTAGACTTTAAATAACAGCAAGCATATAATCCACCTGCTTTGTTACCACCTAATTCAGTCATGGCACGTGCATGCCCTGCTGGCACAGACACCCATCGAACGCTGCGGGCAGTATTTCAGGAATGCACATTCCTTTAAAGATTTTTTCCTTTTTTTCCAGTAACTGATGAAAAATTTGGAGACTTTTAGAGACAAGATTGGCCAAATGACAAGGTTAATTACTGTGGCTAACCGGCAATGCTGCATTCAAGTCTGTCTGATACACAAGATATTTCCTGAATAACTGAACTGTCTTGAGACACGACAGTTGGGAGGGTGGGGAGCAGGTTGTTGGGTTTTGGTGGGTTTTTTTGGTTTTATTTTTATTTTTTTACGTGGCAGTTGTATGATATTTGAATTGCTCTAAATTCTCATCATTAAAAATCACAATGTAGGGAAGGTTATAAACAGTTTCCTAGGAACTTGTGTTAAACAACCCAAAGATGGGTGGATACAGGAATGTGTATGTACCTGTACCTGAACGTTACACGACACAGGTGTAAAATAAAACTGCTTCTTCCTTTTCACCTGAAAAATGCAGCTCCTATGCATTTTACTGTACATCCCTGTAACTACGGTTAGATGGAATCAGCTACTATTACTAGCTGCATGTACTATTACTAGCTGCATGTAATCGTGTCTCTACTGGTCTCTTGAAAATGGATAAGGATCTTCGAAAGCAAAAAAGTCTGAACAGCTGATATACCCCTTTCTAACTCCATTTTGAATCGAGGAGGGTAATTCTGTATTAAAACTGCTTGTGTTCATTAATACGAGACCACCATCGGTTTAGGATTGAGCAGCCCCACTAAGAAGTCTGGGCATTGATGGAAGCCTTCCCCTGTCACCACGGGCTATGAACTGGATCCAGCATTTGAAGAATGACTCTCTAACATCAGGCGACATCGTTCGCTGTTAAGTAAAACGTGAATGAATTTTGTTCAGCATTGATACAATGCATTTTTGTATAACGAACATTCAATTCTTTTAGCCACTTTAAAGCATAAGAATACAAGAAGGAAGAATAATTTGTGGATTTCAGGGCCACGATGCAGTTGGAAGCTAGAGGAATCGTCTAAGATTTTAAGGAAAAAAGACAGAGGAAATTTCTTCTGTCATATTCCATACCCTTTCTAAAGCGCAAGTTTTACCCTGTCACAGATCTTGTTTTAATACTTTAATTCCTATACAATAGGAATACGCCAGGGCAACTACAGCTACAAAATGACGTAATTTGTTATTATTGTGACAAGCATGAGAAAATGCTTTGAATTGCCAGTTTTAGATACAAGAGTTTTGTAATGCTGTTTACATATTTTACATGAAAATGTCATGAGGGAAAGTCTTACGGCAGCGCATTTATCAAAACAGCTTTGAGGGATTTCCACTGCACTGGAATGCAACCCCACGGTAGACTTTTTGATGATAAGATGACATATAATATGAAGAGTTAGTTTTGGGGTGAAACTTGTCATGTAGATTCACAATCACACAGAAGGGTTTTTTTTTTCCTTTTTGTAAGTTTTGAAGTAAACGGGCTCTCCCTTCACCTCAAGTAACACACAAACAAGGCTGAAGTCACCCAAGTTAAGCAGAGTGAGCCGTGCCTTTCCAGTCCTCATCAATCTGAGCAAAACGAGGGTTTTGTAGAAGTGAACCTTTGTATTGGAGAATATATTCTGGGTGCTCCGGCATTGAATTAAATTGACATCAGTCAGGCTGATGGCCTTTATTAACTGGTCAGTGACCTGACTGGAAAACTAGCCACCGGTGACAGCCACCGGTGGTAGGACAGCCCGTGGCTGTAAGACCTTACCACCTG